CCCCAAAACCCCAAAACCCCAAAACCCCGACATGAATATTAATTTAACCATTTGATTATTAGGGAATTAATTTTATATAAAATATCTTATCTGTATATCAATGGATTTTTTATCAAAGCAGATGGCTCGTGTGGGCAAACAAAACGTTAACTTAGAGATAAATTTCTAACCTCTCTTGCTGAAAGTTAATGTTACCAAGCCAGGAGAATATCAGCTTTTCTTTAAGCGTGGTCCCCAGACTAACGAAACCAAGAAATACAATCTTGACAAGAGTTCAGGAATGTCGATAACTGAGCTGATTTTTGAAAACGAAAGCTTTACTAAGGTTAGTGGATTTTACTAGGAAAAGGATGGCACTTTCCAGGAAAAGAAAGCAGTTATTCTCATTAAGGGAGCAGGCGATAAAGTTTGCGAGCACACTCTTGATCTCGCTAAGTACATACATCGTGGACCAGTCAAGGAGAGGTTGCAATTGACAGGAACCGCATACCATTTGGATTTTGAGATCACTGTTCAAGACCCTGATCCAGCAAAGAGAGTAATCAACGCACCTAAAGAGGATGATTTCTAGTTAAATGAAAATCCATATGATCATAGGGACACCAAAGCTATCAGAGGAGAGCCTCTTCCTGGAGATGAAAGCCATGTCAAGCGATCAGTGACTTCCAACAACACCTTGCCAGCTCATTAGGTAAAGACTGAAAACTTGAAACCAGAAATTGATTTGACAACGCAAAAGTTAGAGTAAAGCTAGAAAGAAGCAAACTAATTAAAGTAAACTCTTGAAGATTTACAAAAGAGACTAAATGATGCACAACTGAGAAATCAACAATTACTTGCAGAAAAGGAGGAATCTATCGCAAAGCTTGATGGTACTTAGGACTAAGAAAATAAGCTGAAAAATAAGTGTGGGAATTTAGAGAAAGAAGTTGAAAATTTGAGGAAAGAAGTAGGTGGTCTCTACAGATTTGATTCTACTTTCAATTGAGCGAGCGATTGGAAAACATAGTAAAAGTTATCATCTTCATATAACTGATCAGTTCAAGTCTAATATTTATTATTTAAACAGAATTCATATAAGTTTTGAATTAGTAAATATAGGGGTTTTGGGGTTTTGGGGTTTTGGGGTTTTGGGG